CGGATTATATCTGCTCGTCCAGTGACCATGGATGATCAATACTTTTAAAGGTGCAATGTGGGAAATTTCAAGTCCACTGCTTTTCCATCCACTAGATGTTTGGATGCTCATCTAAATTGCATAACCGATATATAGTGTCCTATATAGTGATTATGGCGGGCATTCAGACACAGCCAATGACTCAGTGCTATCACCATGGAAATGTTGCTGCATGTTTGATTAACAGAATGGATTGCTGTAAAATAAGAAACTATAAAAACAGTTCATTTTTGTTAACAAGAAAATGTTTTACACAGTGGCACAAGGCACATAACTTCACTGTTTTGTTTATTTAAATAGAAGTACTGTAATTACCTTTTGAATCCAACTCTATGATTAGATGAATGCAGTAATTAGAAATGTACTATATATTCCTGTATTTAAGGTAATCCTCTTTAAATGCCTTGAGATGACATTTCTTGCTGATCAATATTATCTTAAGAAGCTAAATTGAGGTGAAATAAATTCACTATATATCTATTAGTATCTTAGTTTCACTATAGCCCTGTAGTGTCAAATGTCATTTTTTATTCATAAGATACAATTAGGAGCTTAAATATTTCCCTCATTTAAGTATTATTCCTGACTTATTAATGTTGATACACAAAATTCCTGCCAAGAAGTTTAATAGATTTTAGCTCCATTAGTTGAATGAACTCACCAGACCTCCAGGAGACGCCTTCATCTATTGACGGGATGAAAATAGTTCTGCTAACTGACTGCCTGCTGCTTATCTTTGGCTTTACATGTTGCTTATAATGTAAGCAAGTCCATAAAGTCATACACCAATCTGAAGCTTAGTGCGCTCCATTTAATAGTGTCTGCATGACATTTGGGACTTTATATGCATTAGTGACCATTAGTCATCCCTGGTGGTGACATATTAAATATTTTGTATTGAACGGTGTTAAAGACCTCTGCTTTGCTCAATACAAGTTCCACGATTTGCAAATAAAGAAATAAATGCTTGTTTAAAATGACATCTAAATGCCATAATTTGTTACGTTTTCATCTGAGGATATTTTTTATTTTTAGGCAAATAAAAAATTGCAGGTTTCTGTTTTAATTTTTAGTTTAGTCTAACCGACTTTTTTTTTTTTTTGAATAGGTGTATGTATAAGCTTTACTAATGGAGTTTTATGTCCAGCCATCAGTTTTTTAACATATGTTCAGGTTGGCTAATCTTCTTATTGGTTGGAGGTTTTCTCCCCTCCAATTTTGAATAGCTTAACAAAAATATGCCTCAGTAATGGATGGCCAGATCCTCATCCACCCCCCTCCTCCCATCAGCTATAACTTAAAATAGGCCATCAAGTGGCTAATGAACTGATAAGCCCTCTGTGTCCTGTGGGGTTTATGAACATTATATGCCAAATGTCTGGGCATATTCTGTGAAACAGTTTTTTTTTTTAAGTATTGTAATATTTCCAAATGATCTTGACACATCAAAGGCGTGCATTTACCCACAAGAATAACCACATGTTGTATGAGAAAGGAAAACTCTAAAACCCTTGCGTTCATTTCTTCTGTGACTGTGTGGCCTCTGCGCTTGATGACACCGCCAGCGAGTCAAACGGCTGGTATCATTATCAGTTCAGGATCTGTTTAAATCCATGGATTTGTGTGAGCAGTTGGAGAAATTAAAATAACATGCTTTTTACAGCGCTTACTTTAAATCTCTTTAGACTTCATTTTTTAAAACATCTAAATCTGTTATTATGTAGGCCGCACAAAACCCTTTTAATGTAATCTTTGACAAGATTATGAAATTCATTGATGATGTCACAAACTTAAATAATAAAAAAAAATGTTGACTAAGCCTGGATAAGCACATTCAAGGGGATACTGCGGGATTAGAATATTATTTATTTATAATATCTCCTATGAGTTATTGACACATATTACTCTTCAAGTTGATTATTCCATCTATATTTTGTCACATCTTTTTTTTTTAAAAGCACATTAAAGTGGGTTAGTGTGACAGTTTTAACATCAATGTTTTAATGTTGATTTCTTTGTGATATAATTTTTAATTTATAGCATTTTAATAAGATTCAAAAGGTTTTCCAAAATTATTTCATAACATATTTAGAATCACTTAAATTGTGTGTTTTTCTAAAAAATCTGATTTCTGTAGTTTTTGGGGTTTATTAAAGTTCAGAAGAGAATGAAAAAAGAAACTTTGCATCTGCAAGATTTTTAAAAAATCCTTCTGTGAAAAACATCAAGGTCCACCCTGTGCTTCTCTTACTTTTTTACATCACTTTAGTTTATTTGCATCTCTGTGGGTTTGGCTGCATGTGTCGCCTCTCAAGCAGCCAGAGTGGCTTCTTGCTACCTTGAAAATGTGCTTATTTCTTAACAGAGAGCATTTAGAGAAGGGCACAGGACTGAGTTTTATGGCATAAGCTGGTCCATCCGTCTTGATTAAAACCCACTGTATAAATGTGTCTTTAAAGGTAAGATTTTCTGTTAGATTTACTTAAAATCTCCAAAACAAAACAAAAAAAAAAGTCACATTTTAAGCTGTCCTTTGAGGCTGCAAAGGAACAATTAGAAACACCTACCTAAATGGATAGGCTGTTGCTCACTAATTCAATTTACAAGGTTGGTTTGAAATTAGGACTTTGTTGACATACAGTAGCTTCCATTTTCTTAAGGTTTTTTGTGTGCAAAGTGTGCAAATATTTCAAATCATCTTATGTCCTGTCTTAAGCACCTGCACAGTTTGCAAGTCACTCTGGGCCCTGAGACTCAGCATCTTTCCTTGGTTAATTGACATTTAGTGGTTGGAATTTATTGATTTTGCAAGTTTAAAAAATTGCTGAATAAGAACCCTAATTCAAAATCTTTATGCCTCTAGATTGGTTTTAATTCTGCTGAGCTGTTTTTCCACATTTTTTCCTCCAAAGTGTGACAAAAGTGACCCTTAACACTTGAATTCTTTCAGGAGTTTCTCTGAAGGGGTTGGTGACGCTGCACAGACATAATCTCATGAATATGCAGACCTTCCTCAACCTAAGCTGTTCTTTTCAATTACGATTGTTTCACTATTTTTGGCCATAACTTCACATATTCATGTGCTTTAAAACAGACCCAGAAAGGATTTTTTAAGAATTAAGCATAGAAAAATGCTGTATACTTGAGAAGGAGCTATCTAAAAATGATCCACATTACCTTTGATAAAGGTCGTACCAGCTGTCGCATAATTTGGCTTTTTTTTTTTTACATACAAGCCTTCTTCAGACCACTCTAGAGTGGAATTAGAGAGTCTCTTCTTTTCAACATTGATTATTTCAAGAAACACTTTTAATTAGTGGAGACTCCAATGAAAGAATGATTATTGGCAAAGTCAAGGATGCTAATTGAATGCTGCTGGACTTCTGACAGTATTAGTGCGCCGCTGTGCTGCACAGACTCATTACAGATTCTAAACCCGGCCTAACTTTAGGAGCCTCAGCACACTGAATAGATTCAAGAGCAACAAAGAAAAAAAAACAAAAAAAAAACACAGTTGGAGTCGAAATAGAAAATATTCTCCAGGTAGTTCTGAGTCTGAATAGTATTTTAAGACTGGTTTTCATGTGAAAAGTGGTTAAAAGACCAAACACTTTTTTACAGTTTTTAACAGCTGGTTTAAATGGGAGCACGAATAATCGGATCAGGTCTAACAAAAATGTATGTGTTGCTGTATGGGTTAGCTTAAGTATTTAAAAATAAATGGTTATAAAACAGCTTGATTCCATTGAGGATTTATAGAACCTGCAATTTGGCAATAACTGACTATGCTTATTAAAAATGTGGTATCCATGATTTTGAAATATACGCTCTTTAAATTGTCACTATATTTATGCTACCATTGTATCACTTGAGATGTTGATTTATGATCTTTTGAGGGCTATAGTTAGATTAAAAAAAGTTATAAAACAATGATTAATTACACAGCTATTCTAAAATGGTATAATTTGTTTGTAAAATAGTGATCTATTATTTTCCCTGGATATTAATGAATAAACTACATAAACAAGAACAACTGATCCACAGAAACTGCTGCTTGATATTTCAAATAACAGGAAAATCCTGAATACTTCATGTGCCTCATTCACAGATAAAATATGACCATAAAGTAGCCAAAGTACAAAACTATAACTTTTCTTAAAAGGATTACATGAAAGCTAAGAATGAGGAGAAGCTGAAGAATTGTGCCTTCAGGCTATCTTAAAAAACTTCAAGCTTGTCAAAACCGGAGGCTTTAACTGAGGTAAAACTTTGTTTTTGCTTCTTTACAAATGTTATTTTTAATATATATAGTTTTTTAAAAAGACTTGTTGTATTTATGCATTGAAAATTCAGAAGGAAAGAAGCCGTTTTTGGAGCTATTTTAAAGTCACCCCTGATTTCCGACCATTTTCATGATTTTCATATATCTGCAATAAAATTGCAAATTTTTGTATGACCTTCACAGACGGATCTCGTTTAGACTAATTCAACCTGCCACCCCGAAATACCCCTTATACAATTTGTAAAAAATAAAAAAATAAAAAAATAAAAAAAGAAAAAGAAAAAGAAAAATATATATTCCTGTTTTTTTTTCTTTTCGTTAAACTGGGAGATCCTTTTTGCATTTTGTAATATAAACCACAACGAATCGCATGTTGGCTCCATGCTGTAATACTCTGAGATGTCTTGGATCGAGAGTTTATAAAATATGCATGAGAAAACAGAGTGGTTCAAACTGACAAGTGTGATTATTACTCACTTGCATGACAATTACTGGCCCAATTAAAGCGAAGCCGCGCGTTTGAACCAACAAAACGGTGACCTACTTCTTATTTTTCTGCGAAAGTATATAACATTTTTTAATGCAGTGAATATTAAATAGTTCTTGTAACTCAAATCTGTTCGGAAATGCAAGGGCAGCTTTTTTGCGAACTAAGACACACACATTCACGCACACACGATTTTTTTCTTCTTTTTTTTGTAGTAGAATAAGCCCACAAGATCTTTATTCATTTCTTTTCAGCAATGAAGTCACACTCTCTTTGGGGGACCAAGTGAAGGATCCACAATCAGATTGGATAGGGGGTGGGTGGTGGAGAGTCTTTTCCAGAATGGTCTAACCCTCCATAATATAACTGCAGGAAAGAAGGCTCATCGCTATCTTTGAATTTTACTTTAAACTCCATTTTGTTGTCCAAAAAAAGGCTGTTCAAATCTTAGCAGAGAGTCGGATGCGAGAGAGGGCTCACAAATTGCATACAATACAACAGATCACAGTTTCGAAGGCTATATCACAGATAAAAAAAACACCTATTTACCATTTATTTAGACGCACACTGATTGTCTCTTAAAAACTACATATTGATTCCTTATAAACATTTTTTTCTTAAATAAAGTAGTGCATCCATGTCCACACAGTATCCTCATGTCTCTCTGCCAGCAGGTAAATTTTTTTTAAAGAGGTCTGCACCTCAGCAGGACTCACTGAAGTGATAGTTCCGTGGCTGCGCATGTCCTCAACAGGTGTTTTTACGCACAGAGGCACGCAATGATAGAGGTGGATGAGGGGCTACAAGTTGTGAATGAACAGGGAAAAATCTATTTGCCAGTACTAAAATAAATTAAAACTCTCCTTTAGGAGTACCGAAGACCACCGGAGTAAAAAGAAGAAAAAAAAAAGAGCGAGAACGCAGCCAGTCTCAACCAGTCTGATGTTGAGTTTTTATGAAAGATGCCTGAACTGCGTCTCATGTGATCGACTCTGCTTCTTTTCACAGGACCTGGAATTTCCACGAGGATGTTTGATCCTTATAATCCAAGCAATCGGCATTAAAGTTCAGCTTCCAAGATGCCGCTTGGTCCTTATAATCCAGGCAGTCTGCCGTGGAGTTGAAGCCCAGGCCGGACGTCCCGTAGCCCTGGGTGGAGAGAGACGCCGGAGACTGGTTCAGATGGCTTGTGACCGCGTTAGTGCTCATCGGACTGAGAGTCGAACCGGGCCCCGATAGCTGATGGTGCATTGGAGTGAGGTAAGAGCTGCAGTCCATGCCCCCGAAGTAGGACGTCGACCCTGCGTAACCCTGGCTGTAGCCAGAGGCCTGCGTGTAGGTCATGGGGTAGGAGCGCTGCATGCAGGAGGAGGAGGTAGACAGGGGGTCCGACAGAGGAGAGATAGATGCAGGGCTCCAAATGGACACCGGAGCGGTGCTGGTGGAGATGGCAGGGACTGTGGTGGTGCTAGTCGGGGGCGTGAACTGGCCGCTGGCCCCCTCCGAGCTGACCTCCCTGGTTGGGGAGCTTTTCTTTTTAGGAGGTCGCACCTTGTTCTGTCCGCCGTTCTGTTGTTGCTGCTGTTGCTGGCGACACTTAGCCCGCCGGTTCTTAAACCACACCTAAAAAAAAGCAAAAACATGGAAACCATAATTAAAAGCAAAATAGAGCAATAAAGACAGAGAAAATAAAAAGGCGAAGCATGCAAACGAACTACATAAAATAAAGATGTATGCTTTGATTAATGCTTTCCAGTTTAGTAAAAGTTTTATGTTTTTTTAAAGCAAGCTTTGTTTTTCTTCCCTATAGAATTGTTAAATAAATATATTAAAATTGTACATTTTAATAACAAGACAATTTAGAGAGCTAAGGCCTAGTTGAATACTATATGAGAAAAGAAAAAAAAAACATGCAAACTTATTCTAAAAAATATGGTTGTCATATGAACAAATCAATGGAAATAGAAAAATAGAGACAAGAGGAACTTTTCCCACACAGGTGAGGAACAGAATGTTGATGCAGCCAACAGATAGCTTTGTTTTTTGTTTTTTTGTTTTTTTTTTTTGGTATTAAGGGATTATTATATAATTATGTTTTAGATATACAAAACAAGCTAAATTAATTATAATCGAATTTTAAAACATTATTTTCAATAACAATAAATGAAACGTAGAAACAAAATTCAAACATTCTCAGAAACAGCTGAACAATAAAACTGAATATAGCGCATTTACTTTTCCTAATTCGATGTTTTATATTTTTATCACATTTAAATTCAATTATTTTTGTCTAGAAGAGTTCTAATTTACAAACTATTATTACTATTATCTATATAAGTTAATATAAAGGAAATTATACGTGAAACATGAGCAACCTATAAGTTATTGCAGAGTAGCTTGTAACTGACAAGACTATTTCAAAATATAAAAATAGTTTATTTCCCCCCAGAGCAGTCTGTAAACTCACCTGTACTCTGGACTCCGGTAAGTTGATTTTCAGCGCCACTTCTTCGCGCATGAATATATCCGGGTACCTAGTTTTGGCGAACAACGCCTCCAAAACGTCGAGCTGTGCGCGCGTGAAAGTAGTCCTTTCTCGCCTCTGTTTCCGTGGCGTGGCTGTAGACAGAACATCATTGCAGATTCGGTAAATATCACCTTGGCTTGTAAGAAACGAACGAAAACCATTCGACTACAGTATAGTATGACTTAGATAATCTATAAGCATGTCTTACATTTATGTGCGTAATTACGCACCAGTCTTCAGCCTATATATATATATATATATATATATATATATATATATATATATATATATATATATATATATATATATATATATATATATATATATATATATATATATATATATATATATATATATATATATATATATATATATATAAACATATGGCACGAGAACTTCAGTATTGAAAAGAAAATATATGACAATTTTTATTGTTTATGTCAAAATGCAAAAACTGCTTTGAGCCAAATTAACAATAGGACAGAAAATCTCAAACGAACGTCGCTTTATCCATTGCATTTATTTAAAAAAAGCAAAACCCACCTGGATAACCCACCGATGGATGCAAAAGGTCCATCCCGGAAGTCGTTAAGCTCAGGCCATTTACCGTGTAAGGTGGTTGCTTTAGATACGACATCATGCTAATGTTTGTCTGAGGGCTGAAGTTGGAGAAAATTTTGAAAACTGGTGTCGTTCCAAAGGCGCCCCTCGTGTCCTCTCTGATCTCCGTGGGCTCCGTGTTACAACGGGCACCTGTTTGAAAAAAACAACAGGAACTGTTAGATATTTTTTTAACCTTACATCTTACACACTGTTATAGGAGTATGCGCCCTCCCCAAAGACTCATCTTGCTTCTCATAAAGCTGCCAGTGCATCTTCAGTTCAGTTGCCCTTACCACTATATGCCCCCCCTCATGAAAGCAAACAAAGAACTACAGCAATTAATGCCATCAATACTTTTTTAGACAGTAAAGAGGGAAACAATCTAAATTATCTGAGATCTGAGATTTCTATATGTATATATATATATATATATATATATATATATATATATATATATATATATATATATATATATATATATATATATATATATATATATATATATATATATATATATATATATATATATATATATATATATATATATATATATATATATATATATATATATATATATATATATATATATATATATTCTTAGATAACTATGAGTATGACTTAGATAATCCATAAGGATGTCTTACTTTTATGTGCGTAATTACGCATAAAAGTATGAAATATATTATTTCACGTTAAATAAATGGGTACAACTCCACATTTTGAAGGAAAATGAAATAAATGAAGCTTTCTATTATATTTAGATAAATAAAATCTAAATGGCTGGTTGGCGGTGGGACATATTCCTCCTCAGTGAAGATGTGAAGCTCTTGAATCCGCACCGTGATGCTGTTTGGTAAACGCGATCGTTGTCACTTCAGCTCCAGTGACCCTCCGCTCCCCACGATCCCCACTGTGCCTCTTGATTAGTTGCATCTTCTCCCTCTCCATCCAACGGTTTTAACCCCCTCATCCCAATCTGTCACACTTAAACACACACCAGCCCGTCAACCAGTTGCTCTCCCGCTCAATAATAATAATTAGCCCCTCGTCCAACGATTAATTATGATAAATGGACTGATGATGAATTACGGGGATAATTCAAGTGGCAAATGGCTCGAAAGACTGAAAGCTTTTAAAATAAACCTCGGAATTAAAGGCAAATATAGAGGATGAATGTATCTGCGGATGTTTTTCGTGTATCTAACTCTAAATAGAAAATAATTCATATGATTTTGGGAGATGCATAACTCCCAGAAGCAGGGAACATATTAATTGTGACATGTTGGTTTATTGTCTGATGAAAGATTCATTTCGGCAGTCATAGGAGGCGCAAGAGGCCCCGGAACATTTACCCCTTCACATCCCTAAAATGAATAGTTTTCTTTTTTCAATATATTTAATACTATTATAAATAATTTATTTTAGTTTGGATCAGTGCGTTATGTATTTTTTGCATTTTAGTTTTTTTTTTGCCCAAACTAGAACTTATTTTTTTATACATATTTCCAATAATAATAATAATAATAATAAAAATAAATAAATAAATACCAAAAAGTGCAAGTAGCCTATGCAATAAAAAAATCGTAAGATTAAAATGACCAAAATAAAGAAACAAAACTAAAATCTCATTCAAAATTAAAAACTCAGACCCTCCAGAGGGGTCTAAGTTCGACAATATTTAAACACCTTTTTTAAATAGTGTAATTTCGTTTTATCGACCCTTCTTGGATCTGTTATGCACCTTATCTAAAATACCAAATATTCCCCGGTAATAGAAATTAAGATAAAAAAATACGTTAAATATTTGAAGCACCATAATCATTCCACTGGCCTTCTTGAGTTCAGGATTTATTTTCAATACTTTTCGTTGATGTTCCCTGTAGATAATCTGATAATTGTAATAATAATATTAATAATGATAATAATTAAAATAATAATAATAACTTACACTGGCATTTAGGTGTAGAAATGACTTGTTTTCTTGATTCCTCTCTTTCGGGGGGAAAAGCAAAAGCTGTGCAGAAGTCAAAGAGTCCGAGTGACAAAACCTCCAAAAAGCAAGTAGGAACAGCCTCCTTCCGCCGATGAACAGCAGCACAGATAAAAGTTGAGCGATGAGCGCAGCATCGGGCTCTGAAAGGACGCTGATGGCGGCGGTGGAGCTGCGGAGGAGGCTGTGTGTGCGCCTTTAGGATTTGTTCAGACTGAAGTGGTTTGAGTTAGATTTTGTACAAACCGCCAGCCAATGGGGAGCCTGGAGAACTGAGCTGAGCTCCTTCTCTGTCTCCGTCTCTCACACTGGTGGGAAGTATCCCCCCCCAACCCACCCGCCACTTTTTTTTTTTTTTTTTTTTTTTAGGGGAACAAATCTCTCCAGCTACTTTTTTTTTGACGCACGGTCCTCAGCCAATGGCAGCGAGAAAAGCGACTGCCAGCATCCCCATCCCACCGCAGAGAGGCTGCTGATGGGAAATAAACGGTATGATGACACCAGACTTTATTTATGTGTATTTATTCCATTATTACACCCTATTTGATAAAAAGAAAAGGAAGAACCACAATTTAAAGACTAAAACTTAATATTTTTAAACGAATATTGCGGAAATTTATTTATTATTTTTTTGTTGCGTATAGCCTTGCTTATAACAGTCTTATAACTGTTTAAATATTTCATAAAAAACTCAAAATGTGTCTTTGTTTTTATCAAGGAAGTAGTTTTGAATAAATAATAAAAAAGAAAGATCTTTTAGGGAAAAAAAGAGGAAAGGGAGATCTGAAGCAGGGCTCTCACATTCCAGCGCGTCGCTGAAAAAAAGGGGGGATTTAGAGCGACTTATTTCCTTTAAATTGTCCTCCGGTCCGCCGAGTTAGCCAGTATGATCTCACAGGCCTGAGCCGAGCTGAACTGGAGAACACCAGGGAGTCAGAGAAATGTTAGTCGCATCATCTGGAGGTGAAGACAAATGATGGAAGAACAATGCGGACGCTGAATGACTTGATATTCCCTCATTTATTAAGGTAGGCAATAATAATAATAATAATAATAATAATAATAATAATAATAATAATAATAATAATAATAATAATAATAATAGAGGTTAATTGTCCTGGCTGTGTAGAACAGATGTTATATTTGAGCTCCTCCAGCCTCTGTGGGACAAAGAAAATCCTCTTTTGCGTCACTTAAATTTTTGAACCTGTGTGCCCATCTCAAAATAATATGCTGAGGGTTTTTGTCACGGCTTGGTAAATGTATCATCTTAAGAGGCTTTTTCCAACACCTACACACACCATCTCTCTCTCTCTTTCTCTCTGTATCAAACACACTCTAACACACAGACACTCTCTCTGCAGCCTCTGCACGGACACACCCGCTCCCTTCAAACAGATTTGAATATTGATTTAGATTTATAAACACAGGCAGAGCGTGGCTTTTTTTTTTTTTTACTCATTTGTCATTTGCCACTCTCTCTCACTCTCTCTCGATTTCTTTCTGTATCTGCGTGGCTCTTGTGAAAAGGGTCAGAGTCAAAGGTGTCGTGATAGCTGTGAGGAATATATATATATATATTTATTTTAACCCAGAGCTGCATGCAGTGCAGCTCACACACCCAGAACCCTCCTTATAAAGTCAGTGACATCTCTTTTGACAGATTCCGATCGGAGGAGGAGCATGCATGGATCCAGAAGTTGGATTTGTCCAGGAACTGAGACAGAGAAAAGTTTTGCTATAGCTGAAAACACATACAGGTAACATTTACAGTATTCACCTTTTTATGCTTTTCTTTTTTTGCATCTTTTTTTTCAAAAATTATGAACTATGTCATCTGAAAGAAAATGTTAACATTTCTATTGGAGCTTAATTTTGGTTATTTGAACATTGAAGTGAACACATTTGCTGTGCATGAGCAATGACTAACACCTCGACTAAAAATGACAAGTTAAAAAGAAAATAAATGCTGTTTTTCTTACTTTAAAAATATACCTATATTATATGACTTATGTATAATATATATTTTGTTTTATTTGTGCAATATATAGACAGATAATGTTACCCAGGTCAGAGTGTAATATTGATTACCTCCTATAGTGTGACAATTTAATTTAATCTCGATAAATTTCATATCTTCTAAAATCCTATTTATCATTTCAATTATTACACAATAGAAAAAATAACTCGAAAGGAGCAAGCAAAATATTTCAAACTTCATTTGGAAGAATGTGGGATGCATGAAACTACAAAACAACAAAACAAAATGTAAGATAGTGTAAAAATGCAAAGCAGCATTATTTAGTAAATAGTTTTGGCCACAGAGTTTTCTTGTTTATAGTATTTTTTATATCTTTCCAAACATTGTTAAAATTAAGTCAGAACTCATATGTTTCCTTTTTTTAAATGTGTTATTTAACATTATTATTATTAGTAGTATTATTATGATTTAATAAAGTAGCCTACATGATTTAGGCTCTCCTTTTGGGCCGCCTCATTATAGCAGCTGCATGGTAATGGATCCCAATCTGAGACGTTTTGAAACTGCAGCGTGGAGAATGATGATGTCTGATGCTGTTATCTGCCGCATCTCACCGTTTAAAATCGCTAAATAAATTATTAAAGTGCAAAGCGAGGCCCCTCCGCGGGGACTGTGTATCTTAAAAGGACGTTTAAGGGGAGAAGCGGCGGAGCGCCTCCGGCGGGCTGCGCTCCCACTGACTCCTGGCTAATTGACGAGGAGCGGCTTTTATCTCCGCCTGCGCTGCGCTCAACCTGAGGGCGTTGATTTCTGCACCGGGCCCGCTCCAACCTGGGATTTCCGCCTGTTAACGCGCGGCCACGCATCTTTGCAAACGCACCGCGCACCGCCTGTTTGACCCCCGGTATGATATTTGAAATAATAATAAAAAAAGCATTATTAGATTTGGTAAAATCTAAAAATGCCTTGTCCCTCTCTGTGCTCTGTCTCAGGAGAATAAACCAGCACTCTGCGGAATAATTAAGAAAAAATAGCATTTTGCATTTGGAACATTTATAGTAATATCTCTGCAATGAGAAAAATCTAACGACCATATTAATATATATTTTTAGTGCAGCTTTCATCTCTCCTCAGCCTGTCTCACAAGCCCTGACGGATATTCGCATGGCTGCTTAAAAGGAATGTGTTTGTAGAATTTATTACCATCTTAATGAAAAAAAAATTACTCTTTTTTTGGAATAAAAACAATAATAACTTTAATTTAATTATTTAAAACTCGAATTACATGTAGAGAACAGACAGAGAACTTTCTGACCCCAATTAATAAAGTTAAATTGTCAATTAGTTACATAATTTGAGCTAGAGAAAATAATTTACAATGTATAGTAAAACTAAAGTAAAAGTAAAAGTATGTATATTATGATCTTGAATAAATTTTTAATTTCGTGGAAGTGGAAATAAAGTGTGATATTCACTTATGGTATTCCCAGGCAGAGTGCATTAATGAAACAATTGTAGAAGTGGCATTATGTTCAGGGTCTCATACAGTAGTTCATTTGTAATTAATAGTTTTGACTGTCTGAAAAAAATTGGATTAATAGGTCAGAGATATTGTGATTTACAGATGTTGTGCTTTTAAAAAAAAACAGGAGTTCTGCTTAAAATCAAAATAGGAAATAAAAATAAGACGTTAATAACAAAGAAGCCTTCCTGCTGTGTTCTCTTATCACAAAAGACTCAATCTTTGTGTAATGTATCGTGTAACTGACCTAAGAGGTCATCAGTACTCATCCAGCCCCCTCCCCAAGGATTAATGGTGCAAACCCCCTTCTTCACATTTGTTTTAAGAGTTTGGTGACACAGCTAAGTGCAGGCGTCCTGGAATCAGACATTTTATTTCACTCTGAAATGTTACTCTAAGGAAAGACAGAAAATAAATTTAACTATGAGTCTGTTTATATTTTACACTTTTATTGTGAGAATAATAAAAAATTGGATGTTTTTTCCTCCTTGAAGTCTAAGATATGTTTACCAAAATTGGTCCTACTGTTATTATGGCACCCTTTTTCAATTAGAACCCTAAGTGTTTGTGTTTTGTTTCTGCAGGAGTTTGCAAACAAACAAGTGGAAGCAGTGAACACAGTCGACGTGCAATTCTCCAGCCTCCAGCAAGAGCCAAGGTCATGACTGGCTGACAGAGGCAAATTAGCAGAAGTTAACATTATGAGAACTGTCTAAAGAAACCTTTGCATGAAAATATTCATTCAAATTTCCACTTTAACATACTCAAACATTTTCTGTAATTGCTTGTGAGTGAAGAGCCACATTAATTGACTGTGACTGTTCTTATAATTAAACTTCAATGTGTAAAAGCATTGTTGCCACTATTGTTAAAGGTTTACTCTTCCTGTGTGCTCTGAGGAGTCTGCATGGCGTGCTAAAACCTGCCCTGCAGACCGGACCTTCCCAGTCTTCAAAGCAGGGGAACTCAATGTGAGGGGGATTTGTTCAGGCTTATTTGGTAACCTAGGATTTGAATTGGATTCTTGGAGGCATTCACGACACATTTGAAATATGTTACATTGTGCGATTTTGTGTGTAATCCCCATAATAAATTTTTAGAAATGGTTTCACAACTGTGAGTATTCATGATTCATCAAGTGGTTTTCTTGTCTTGCCTCTCAGGGGTGAGGTGTGTGCTGCCTGAAGGAAATGTGGGGGGGTTAATTGCAGCAGTCAGTTTGCATCCTACAGTTTTTAACCTTTTGTAAAAAATATATTCAGTATATTTGACCTGAATAAGTGATAAGGTCATCCAAAGAGATCCTGGGAAACCTCCCAAAAGCTTTGGAGCCTTTTTAGGGGATTATAAAGCAGGGAAAAAAAATCTGGACTTTGTCAGCAACTAATCCTCATATACAGAAAAAATCTAAACAAATTGGGAAATGTTTTAAGTAAAATGTAACATTGCAAAATCAAAAAGTAAACAAAATTAACAAGTGTGACATTATTCAGACATTAGTCTTTCTTCTACAGTCCTAATTAATTTAAGTCTTTAGTCTTACAGGATAGCATCCTAAAATGTTCTTTATTACCAATCTATTACACAGGAATCATCTCATGTTGGAAAAAGCTAAGAACTTTCCTCAGATTTTTATGCCTCTATTATTTTTGAAAATTATCTTATTGCGTAAGGATTGACTTTCTAAGTCAAAGCCACAGTAAGCACCACTGGGATCATTATCCAGAGGGGAGAAATTAATCAAAAACCAGCCATGACAGGGCCCTTTAGAAGACTTCCTCCAAAGGAGCTGTATAGAGAAAAGCTGTCCAAAAGCTAAAGTCTTCTTGCAAAAAACCCACGAAGGACATGAAAACAGGAGTAAAATGTTTTTCCATGACAATAAGAAGTTGTTTTGTTTTTTTCTTAAGATAAAAGCCTATAGCTGCCCATAACACTTTAACATTTATGTACAGTTTGTGTGAAAGAGTGTTATTATACCACAGAAACAGTCAGTTACAGTAAAACAAAAAGCTTTTCTATAGAGTATTTCAGAAAAATCTGTTATAGCGGTCGCTTCGTTACCACTTATTACGCATAGCTTATTTTTTTTTAATTTAAATTAGATGTTAATTACCTTGTATTAGCTGATAAGATGGGTTTGAACCACATCTACTGTGAATGTTTCCTTATTCAAGATGTATTTTTTGCATTATACCCACCGTATTCAGGATTGGTCTAAATGCACAGTCCCACGGATTGTAAAGTTATTGATACTGTGTTTTTGTTTAAATTCCCTGTCATACAGTGATGTTGCTTAAAGAAGCATCTTTTATTAATACTGAAAAAAAAAAATGTATTTGTAAAAGTATATATCTCCTGAAAATGGAGAAATCTATGATGGACTGGTGACCTGACCTGCCTCATGCTCAGTGACAGGCACAAGCCTGGTTTGAACTCAGTTTTGAACCATAGTTGAATTTAAGTGGTCGAAATATGCCACCATGGTTTTTTAAAATACTTTTGCAGAGTTGCTGCAGAGCTGATGACTACGTAACTCCGATTGTCAATGGGTGTGATACAGTACATTCCAAGGAAATACTAGGATAGATAACACAGTGCACACACTCTAGTGGCTGGATTAGAAGAGTGGAAATATACGAAATAAAGCTAAAGGAGAGCGATACCCTATCCACAGGTCATGTCCTTCTGAAAGAAGTAAACAAGAGAGTAAAATTTGAACACATATTCCCTTTGCACATCCTTTTATTATGTATTTTGGTTTCTCAGCTCTTATGTTGTAGTGAATGTAACTCTGTAAGAGAAATCAGTGTGTGTATATGTGAGAATTGGAACTTGTGCCTTGTCCAAACCCCACTTTGCTTTGAATGACACTTTGGCGATGCCTCCAGCTCCCTACTTCGACTTCTCAAGTGTAGTCTCCTTGTCGGTGCCAGCTCTGCCAATTCCTCTCATGTCTTTAATATCTCTTTTGGACCCTTGGATTTTGCCATTGAAGGCTCCCCCTTTGACAGTTGGACATCACCGCCACATTTGGGAGACAGCAGCAAGTGTTTGCAGGGTTCCCAGCCCTCAGGGCCTGCGGGGAATCTGTGATGGCTCGCTTGTCAGCCGGCCCCTCCCCTGTAATTAGGAGAGTAAACACAGCGTCTGGCTCTGCTTGAGGGACAAGTGGGAGGGAACAGAGGAGGGGACAGTCCGGCTCCTGTCCTGTAGCTTACTTGAGCTGTTCAGGAGCAGCTCTGGACAGACAGAGCATCATATCTATTGTGAATATTATCATTACAATCTGTGATCCTATTTGAAAATAAAAGTAGTATGTGGATTTCAAAAAACGAGTACATATAAAATGTAAAAGGTTATATACTCATCAGCATTCAACTCCTTTAATTCCAGTTTAAATCAGAGAAACCAGTTGTCCGCCATGTGTTGATTTAACTTTTTAATACAAATTAAGTTGTATCTCTAAGAAGGTAATCCAGACACCCATCTAAAGACTCACTGCCCTGCTTATTCTGGGAGATCCCAAAAATATTAAAGAAAGAAGGGAATTTTATTTCCCATTTGCAAGTTCTTAGCCCACACCTCATCCCAGCAGAGGAAGGGGTTTCTATAAACTGTCTTAGGGAGGCCAGATACATTTGCATATATTGAAGTTATTTATTTTTAAAATATGTACAATTTATGTTTTAAAAAGCTTTTCTAAGTTGCATAATTCTATCACATAAAATCCCAATAAAGTACACGAGTAGAGTCCTGAGTCTTGTAACTACAAAGAGTCCATCTTTCATAATTATATCAAAATTATATCAAATCAGGCTAATTTTCGATCATTGATGAAAGTAAGGTGTGAAGTCAGAGAAGAACAACTTTCTGCTGGACTTTTTTTGGTAATTTTGATCAGGGTGGGACTCCAGCTGGTAAAAAAAAAAACAACTGCTCAACCTTCTTCTCTCATTCCTTCACGTCTTTCCTGGTTGCTGGGGGGACTGGTCAGCGGCAACGAGAATGTGTTGAGGACTGCAGCACAAGCTGTAGCTCTGGACCAGCTTTTGCAGGGGAGGGGAGGGCTGGGGGGGGTGGGGTGGGGGGGTGGGGTTGGGATCTCTAACCCACCCAATCCTAGCCACCATGCTATGCGTAAACAGGGAGATGGGCCACGGGAATGCTAAGACCAGGAGGGAAAGAATTTCACCAGAGGACCTGCCAGAGAAATGTCATGCAGCGAGCGATGAAGAGAGAAACCTAGACAGAGAGCAGGATGAACAGAAGTCTCAGCCAATTGAATCGCAGCCTGTCAGTGTCATTTTAGGTTTGCAGGATACTTACTGATGATGAGCCAGTAGCTTGTGGTCTAGCAGACTCCGTGGCACCGGATCTGACTTGACTGTGTTTGGAGTTCAGAAGGAATACATATGGACTCTTATTCATCTGCCTTACCCCTCTGTCATGCATAGACTAGAACAATTATGTTTTGCCATCAGATAGTGTGCTTCAGGGTCTGCTGTGGCTGACACGAAAGGGTACAAAGGGTGGGGTCCCTCAAATGCCGCAGTCCAATTGCCAGTCTTTATAGCACTCAGAGAGCCATGCTGCAGTATTATGGTCCACAGCATGGAAAGACATGGGGCAGATGGGTGCAGCTCAACCTTCCCCCTTTTATTCTCTACAATGTAAGTAAGCAGTGGTGGGAATGGCACAGTGTGAGATGGTTTGTGGCTGAAGCAGAAAAGCTGTTGGAGGAACATTTGGGGGGCTGGGAGAGAGACTGGTGGCATAAAACTGTTAGAGGTTGTGGTGGAGGGGAGTCTTTGGGATCCTGTAAAGGAGAGGGAGAGCCCCCCACCCATCACATCTCTTTGAAAGAGCAGGGGCACGAGCCCAGCGAGGAGTGGCAGTGTGGCCCAGCGCCTGGGCAGACAGGCAGTCACCGTGCTGGGCTACCATCCAGCTAGCCTCTCCTGGCCCCTTCCCACTCAGGCCCACCCCGTCTGTCCCAGGCTTATGGGAGTCAGGCAGCTGACCCCCCAGTGGACACACCGAAGCACCATCTCATATCCTCGGTTGGGTTCAAAACAGCGGCAGCATCACCCGGGGAGAAAGGCCCTGCAGGGATAAGGGAGGGGGGCCCTTCCACTGCACTCAGGCCTCTGGACGGTGGCCCAAAGTGTTCTGCTGATGATGATAACCCCCACCTCACCATCAGGCCATTCTGCCTTCAAGGACTGTGCAGGTCCACACATCCCCATGGCAACAGTGGCAAGGCCGTCCACACAATGTGAGTGGGCAATGAGCCAAGTGCTGCCAAACTGGGATGAGGGAGAGAGGTTTTGAGAGAATGCTCAATCCAAAACCTTTTCACCTTTATTTTGTCTCTTGGTAATCTTGTTTTTGGCTCCAGTGATCTGACATCACAGACCTGATCAGGATTGTCATTGAGCAGTGGTCAGCAGAGACCTTTGTGATGTTCTCCAACACTGCTGCATGTCTCCTAATTACCATCTACTCCCTTTGCTGTCTGAAATCATGACAGACAGCTAAAAGCTACACCCTGAAGTGAATTTGGACCGATACTCTCTGAGCTATTGGTTGTGCACTTAAATAGACATCACCACGGCAATGTTAAGCCGGCGTAAACACAAGTAGTTCGATGACATTCACAACAAGCACCTAAAGTTGATTCCCCACCCCCTCTAAGCCACCAGGAAGACAGTGTGAGGGGATGGATGATGTTTACTGAAAGGGGTATCTGTTGTTTGTTTTGTTGCTCTGCTTTCCAACCATCAACACGCCACAGCTTTCCTTGAGTGAGGTTTGAAACCCGTATGCGTCTGTGCCATGTGTTATATTTGCTGATAACGGGATTTGCTCGAGTTGCAACTCACCATTTGAGAAAGGTTAATTGTCAGCTCGAGTAGTAGAATGGCTACATGCGGTAATTATTAGTCAAAGTTGCTTTATTATTTAATGATGCTAATTAGGCATTAACAGTGCTCCTCTTTTTGGATCACAACTTCAAATGCATGTCAAATTGCATTAAGTTCACTCTGACATCCATTTGTTGAACGAAGGGAGTGCTGTTTTGTAGATGTCCTTTGCTTTCTTATTCTGAAAC